CTAGGACGAATTTATTCAAGCTGTTGCAATAAAGCTCCAGCTTTATAAATCATCGATGTCGGAGAAGCCGAGAATGAAGAGTGCAAACAATCGTTTCTATTCCTCCACAAGGACCAAAAGAAAATCAATAAAATTTCCAATTGTCCTAAATCAAAAGCTTTTCCAATTAAGTCAATCCAAAACTCATTTGTAGTCTGCAACTGCTCTATATAAGGTAATAACCATGGCGCCACTGTTTCCCAAATCCGTCGACTAAAGCAGCAATTAAAAAAGATATGGCCAACAGATTCTTCGCTTAGTCCACAAACGACACATAAACCATCAACATCCATTCCACGTTGTTGCAAGTTTGCTTTCAAAGGTAGTAAATTCCCAATTAACCGCCAGGTAAAGTAACGGATCTTTGGAGGAATGGATGAGTACCAAACTCGTCTCCATAATTTCCGACTCTCAACATTGATATTTATATCATAACCCAGCTGTTGTCGCGCCACAAAATAGGTTGATTTCACTGTGAAGTTCCCTGTAGAATTCCCATCCCAAATCAAAGTATCCCTTCCCGGTGATCTTGGAATGGGCAAACACAAGATTCGGCTAATATCATCATCCTCAACCAAATCCATAAGCTCCTCAACCCGCCAACATTGTTCCTCAAAATTCATCATATCTGCTACCCTGAGCTCCGAAGGAACTACACCATCTCTTGGCCTGGGGTTGGAACAAGGACCCTTAGACAACCAATTTCCAGACCAAAAATCAATATTACCCGAGCCTATTCTCCATCGTGATCCTGCTCTTATGACCTTTCGGCCTTCCAAGAGACTTCTCCATATAAAAGAGGGGTTGTGTCCAAGTGAAGCTTTAAAAAAATCTCCTTGCGGAAAATATTTGGCTCTTAAGATCCGACTACAAAGTGAATCCGGATTATGTATCAGCCTCCAACATTGCTTTGATAATAAAGCCAAATTGAAAGCTTCAAAGTCCCGGAAACCTAGCCCACCATCTAATTTCGATACACATATATCGTCCCAAGCCTTCCAATGTATTTTCCGATTCTCATTCGTGCCTCCCCACCAAAATTTAGCTAGGATCATATTGAGATCATGGATAAAGCTCTTAGGGAAACGAAAGACACTCATTAGGTATATATGTACAGACTGAGCAATAGATTGGATCATAACAGCCTTTCCAGCAATGGAAAATAGCTTACTACACCAAGAATTAACTCGATGAAGTAATCTTTCTTTGATGAAATTAAGCTCACGCTTCTTGTTCTTACCAACCATAATAGGTAAGCCCAAATATTTATCCCTCTCCAACACCCGAGACACTCCTAACCGTCGCATAATTCTATCTTTAAGGGCTAAAGAGATATTTGAAATAAATAGAAGAGCTGACTTATCGATATTTACTTGCTCCCCCGTTGCCTGTTCAAAATCGTGCAGGATACTCAAAACAGCTTCACACTCTTGTAACGAAGCCCTCAGAAACAAGATACTGTCATCTGCGAAAAATAGATGTGAAATCCTAGGTGCAGCTCTATTTATTGCTATGCCATGGAGTAAATTTCGATCTTCCGCATGTGTTATCAAACAGGAGAGAACCTCCATACAAAACAAGAACAAATAAGGAGACAAAGGATCCCCTTGACGGATTCCTCTAGTAGGGCAAAACGTATCACTTTGTTGTCCATTTATCAGTATCGAATAGGAAACTGATCGAACTCCAGCCATGACCAAGTTCACCCACCTAGACGAGAAACCCAACCTATACATACACTTCTCTAGAAAATTCCATTCTACCTTATCATAGGCCTTGCTTAAATCCAATTTAAGAGCTAAATGCGCTCTTTTACCAGATCTTTTATTACGCATGAAATGAATGGTTTCAAACGCAATCAAGGCATTGTCATAAATCATTCTTTCCGGTACAAAAGCAATCTGACTCTCACCTATAATTTGAGGAAGAACTAACTTAAGTCTATTAGCCAAAACTTTGGAAATTATTTTGAAAATGACATTACACAAAGCTATAGGTCTAAAATCCTTCATAGTTCTAGGATTTTCAACTTTAGGAATCAGAACAATGTTGGTATGATTAATATTGGACAAAATTTCACCAGTATTCAAAAAATTAAGAACAAATTCTGTTACATCCTTACAAACGATAGACCAACATTTTTGATAAAAGGTTGGTGAAAAACCATCAGGACCTGGCGCCTTATCACCTTGCATCTGAAACACCGCCTCTTTAACATTATCTGCAGAAAAAGTTGCATCAAGCGAAGCCCTCATCTGATCATTGACACGACAAGGAAATGAGGCCAACACCTTATCTATAGCACCATTCGAAGGATAGGATGATGAAAATAAATTCTGATAATACTTGCAAGTTATCTATTCCACATCCTCCACATTTGTCTTCCATTCCCCATTTGCATCCTCAATTCCAAGAATCAAATTCCTCCTTCTTCTGTGCGATGCCACGGAGTGGAAATATCTTGTATTTCTATCGCCCTCTGCCAGCCATAGAGCCTTAAAACCTTGCCTCCACATCACTTCTTCCTGTCGCAATAAATCATCTAACTCTTTTTTGCATTCCTCTAAACGTATCGGGTTGGAGCTATCCACATAGGCTTCTGCAAGCTCTTTACGTTTCCATTCTAGCTTATACCGCACATTACCAAATATAGCTTTATCCCACTCAGACAAAGCCCGACTACAAGCCTGTATATTATTATGAATTCCTCCTGTATTGACGGCAGTCCAAGCATTCTTCACACACCTCTCAAAAAGTGAATGAGCCTCCAGTTTTTTAAATTTGAGACTTAGTTGAATCTGGTCTTATTAATAAACCTGTTATTATTATACTCTAAGGTGCGTTTGGTTAGGATCACCCCCCAGATCACTGATGATCTTAGATCACCTGGATTTAGAAGGGTGATTGGATCACCCCTCTGAAGGGTGATCAGGGGGTGATCGGATCACCACTCTTTAAAAAAGGTGTAACCAACCGAAGATCACCAATATGTGATCCCAACCAAACATGGTGATCTGAAATCACCACCCAAGATCACCACAGGTGAACCAAACGCAAATACATAGGAAAAGATAAAAACATAAAGCCTGTTATACTCCTAAAGTCCTAAGTACATAGGAAAAGATAAAAACATATGCCTATTATAACTCTTAAATACATAGAAAAAGATAAAATTGAGGTAGTTAACTCTATTATAAAAAAGTAGATTCAGCACAATCTAGCAATAAAAAACTTCAATTCCCAACTCAATAGGCCCCAATTGCAAAGTTTAAGTAGAACCCAAAGAAGAGAATGGTTACCATCGCTTCTAACATGCGTGGCTGAGTAGGACGGCACTGATGGGAATTCGCTTTGCTGGGGTAAGTTTCTTGCCATGGTAAGTTCGCCTGGTTGGATTCGATTGCATGAGGGGGCAAGGTGGGGGGTGCCATTTTAGTTGACGATGCAACCGCTTGGCATGAAATTCCATCCCATGAGGCAGGGGGCAAGATGGGGTCGGGATTTGCTGGTGGTGAGACAAGGAAAGAAAATAAGGGGTGAGGAAGAACGGTGGCGTTGGGTTCAGTTCTTGATCCAAATTTTCTTGTTCAGTTTTTTCCTTGCTAACTTCAGACCCTAGTTAGAAACCATAAACTTCAAAGGCCAGTTTAGGGTTTGATTTGGGAGGAATTTGGTCGATTTCAAGTTGAAATTTGATTAAAAGGGTTAGGTTTCATTCTATTTGTTTCAATGGTTTATCTAGGTTTTCGTGAGTTAACAATGCACGTAGAGTTAAAGAAGAAGAAGAAGATGACAACTTCCAGTGATGAAATGTAAAGAAAAAGAAAATGACAAAAGAAGAAGAAGTCGATAAAAGAAGAAAAGAAGAGGACGGGGCGGATAAAGTAAGAGGCCTTTGGTTTCTTTCAAGGAGAGTGTTTTTCAATGAGAGTAATTCCTAGGAGAGTGTTCTCCATGAAGATCATTCCAAGAAGAGTGATTCCAGGAGAGTACTTTCCATGGATAGTCTTTCCCTACTCCCCCAATGAGAATCTATTTTCCCTCATATGAGGGAAAGTTGGGTTACTTTCCCACCTTTATTTAATTAAACCAAACCATGGAAAGTGTTTCCCACCTGTTATTTTTCCACCTAGTATATATCCATTGTCGGGTCACTGTTTGAAAAAGCCTATAATTGTGCCAACTCGAAAACGTTTGGCCCTTAATTGATCAAATCGAAACGTTTGGCCCTTAATTGAGCCGACGCGCAAACGTTTGGCCCCATATTGAGCATTTAGCCAAAAATTAAATGATCCATGGTTGATGGCATAGAAGTAAATGATGAATGTTTAGTATAATGGTCATTATTTCTATGGGATATATAGGATCCTTTTCACTCTAGTGGAGAGGTCCACTGGTCTCTAAGATCAATATAGATCAAAATAAAACACATCACTCTTTTTTTTTTGTTTTTTTTTCCACCAAAACACTTGCGTTCCATTAATTTTGTTACTTCCTCTAACATAATTTTGATTATTTATGTTGTTTTTTCTTGGTTCTTTCGGCTCATCTAGTGATCTTCTTCTAATGGATTTCAAAGTCTAATAAAAGATTAAGAGATGTGTCTAATAACCATTTTCCCCTTTAAACTTTCTAATGGATATGGACAATTTTTCTTCTTGAACTTTTAATTTGAAACTCACCCCATAAACTATCAAAATTTGAACTTTTTTTAATGTAAAACAAAAAAAAATATCAAAATCAGGACAATTTTCAATCGGTCGTAAAAAATGACCCAAAATTGCTGATGTGGCGTAATGTCACGTCAGTATTTCTTAGGGAAATGTCTAGATTTTGATAATTTAAGGACTGAACGTTTGAAATTAAAAGTTCAAGGATTGAAAGTTCCAAATTAAAAAAGCTCAAGGAGAAAAATGTCCCTTTTGTAAAAGTTTAGTAGACAAATTGGCATTATGGATGTGGTTAAAGTTATAAGATGAACACCTCTCATGGCTATATTTTTAGCCCACAAACAATTTGCCATGTTTCAAAACAAAGAAAGCTTTTAACTATAAATACAAAATTAAGTACTCCCTCCGATCCATTTTAAGTGTCACAAATCAAGTTTTTGTTTATTTCATAATAAGTGTCACACTTATAAAACCAATACAATTTATACTTTTTTTTTTCTATATTTACCCCTATTTAATGGGGAGTTAGGGAGAGTGATGATAAATGTAGTAATTAATAAAAGGTTGGGGTGTTTAGGTCATTTCAAATATTTTTTTACTAAATTTAAGGTGAGTTAATCATTGTCTTAATATGTGTGATATTTCTAGTGTGACACTTATTTTGGATCGGAGAGAGTAATGATTAAACAACAAACAAACGCTTAACTGTTAAACGAGCCTTTAAATTAACAATAAATGAGTTTATTGTTTAGTGTAGTAAGTTGGTACTTGTAGCCTCTCCTTTTATTCATTTAACATAAATAAACTTAACACATCTTGACAAACTCTATTATACTATAACATTAAATTTAGTTCAAACTCATTTATTAGCTTATCAAATGAATATAAATGAATTTTAAATAAACTTGAACAAGAATTATTCATTGAAAGTGTCCATTTGCAACCATAACTATGAAAATAACAGTATTTAAAAAAAAATTACAAAAAAAACTATGAAAATTATAAAAAACAATAAGAAGGAGAAGTGAAATTACAACAAAACCAAGGTAAAGATTCAAACTTATTGAATTGGGTACTATTGGAGTTGGCTTTCTGGTAAAAAACAATAAGAAGGAGAAAAACAATAAGAAGGAAAAGTGAAATTACAACAAAACCAAGGTAAAGATTCAAGCTTATTGAATTGGGTACTATTGGAGTTTGCTTTTGGTAATTTCAACCCATCTAAAATAGTGATGGGTATCCGGTTCCTCTCACAATTTACCCGTTGGCCAGACCCGAACCCAACTCTGACCCATCTCACTCTATTAGTCGTCGGTTTTTTAAGTGTTTTGGGTTTTTGGATGAAAGGGAAAATAGACAAGATTGAAGGAGAGAAGCAGAGGAAAGAGAACGGGACAGAGAGGAGAGAAGAAAGCAGAAAGGATCAAAGGAAGCAAAGAGAAAGAGAAGAGGGAAGAGGAAGAGAATGAAAGCAAAAATGGAGCCGACGGAGTGTCCACTTTTCCCCTCAAAATGAAATCATGACATCAGCCCTTTACTCGGAAATAGATCACGACGATGATTGTCGTCATGAGGGCAGGCTGGGGGCAAAAAAAAGTGAAACAAAAGAAATTCAAGGTTCCTGTTGCAGACGCCACCGTAGGGATTGACCGACTAATCTATCTGTTTAACTCAGTGTAAGTACCGAAAAATGATGATTTTCATTCATTTTTATGTTTTCGATAGTCGATTGATTATTTATTTATACATTGCTTTGTGGAATTAGGGATTGACTGGGCTTCTCTTATGTTCTTTCAATTAAATTGAAATTATCATTGATTTAATTCTGGAAATTGGGAAAGGGAAAAGCTTCACAATAATTTATTATATTTACCTTTTACAGAGATAAAGAATGTGTTAATTTGTTTCAATATATGTTTTCACGCTTTACAGTCTTATCTAATTGAGTTTCTGTTTCTGTCTTCTTAAAGGCCGATTGCAAATGGTTTGTTCTTTGATGGATTATTGAAATTTGTTATTTCCTTTGCAAGAAAATCAGAGTGACAATAAAATTGTTTTGTGGGATGAACACTTTGTCTTTTAAATTGGATGCATTTATGTTGAAAGGTTTGGTTCAAGCATGTGGAAATGTTTTGGCTGACAGACAAAGAAAGATGTTTCATGGTTTATGTATTGAGATGAACTTCATTGATTCCAATGTCTTATTCACCAGCTTTGTTACTTAGATGGTGTTTCTGTAGGCTACTGTCTCTGGTGCCAAGTCTATGAAGGGTGCTCCATATTGGATGGCTCCTGAAGTCATTTTGCAGACAGGGCATAATTTGTAAGAAGCACTAAATCACTAGACTTATCTAATTGCAGATGTGCCACTTCTCTTTGACATGCTTAGAATATGACTATTGTAGACTTTGAGGTCATTCTAAATTGTTTTAGCATTTAAATGATATTGGAGGTATCTTTGATTGTCTCGCATGCACATCATTTCCTCATCTTCATTGATTAGCTATTTTTGCAGCATGTATAATGGGTTTCTGTGGCTAATAATGATAATATGTGATATCTTTTTTTTTTATTTGTTTTGGCCAGTTTCACTAATTACTATTGCTTAAAAAAGATATGCTGTACATTTACATAAATGAAAATATATTAGTCTTTGTTCTTGCTTTTCCCCCATGTAATTTTATATTTAAAAAATATATATGTTTTGGCACTCTTCTTCTTATTCTTCTTTCCTATGAGTATGAATATCAGATTTAGATTTGATTAAATAACTGGAGGTTATTACATTATTATATATTAGTCCCCATATATACATGAAAATATATCTTTTTTCAATTCATATTATAGAGCATTTGTTGTATTTCTAGAATTCATGCTTCACAAACCTATGAAACAGGCCTCAAAGTCATCTAATAATGCCTTACTGCATTTCCAGTTTTATATTTTCAATATCTTCAGTGGCTAAATGTAACTTAATCCTAGAGGTTTGGTTCTAGGTGTATCTTAACAATGGCATCATTATACTATTACTTAGTGCACTACCACCCACCAGAAATAAGTTATTAACTCTTTGGTTTGGACTATACCTTCAGTTTTAAGTCTGCTTGTTGTGGGGTAGTATAACTTATTTACCTTGAAACTTTCTTTGTTAAAGCTGAAACAGTTATTTGTGGGGTAGTAAATAAGTCAGTTCAACATATGCTTTTGTGGAGTTTTATATGATAGTAATATGGTTTGTGAGAACTTATAACTTGACAAATTACCATTTATTCTAATATATTCTTATTACAGGTGCTTCTCTTACGAACACTTTTATGTAATGTACTGTGAGTTTTGGGAGCTTGACACAGATCATGATTTTTTGATCGATAAAGAGAACGTTATTAGATAAAGAGATCTTTGATGTGGAGCATAAGTATAGTTCAGAAGGTACAAAGAGCAGAAGAAAAGTTGTGAAATAGTTGAGATCTACTAGCTATATTAATATCTGAATAATGTAATATTAGTATATTTTAGCTTTAACTAGTCTTCACTCTCACGTGCGTTGCACGTGACCCATTAATTATAAGTAAAGCTGTCAAAACATGACATGAACCTAATAATCTGTCCAATCCGATCGATCCCGATTTGACCAGAAAAATAAACGATAACCCGAATGATCCGAGAAAATTACCTAACTCATTAAACCTGGACCCAAGTGACGAT